ATGGTTGTCTTGTCATTTCCTGTCTTATTTTGAAAGATACATCCCCTCGTTTCAGGTCTCTTGCACTCGCCTGTGTGTCACATGTCTGCTTGTCTTCCCTGATCACCAATTTTGTTCACCTGGGGTTCCCCTTCCCTTGTGTTTAAACAGTCTGAGTCTCTCCTTGTCTGGGGCCAGTGTTTACTGTAAGAACTTGTAAGAGAGTTCTTTGATTTTGTACTTTGTAACTTTTGCCATCCTCTGTTTAGAGTGAGTTTATTCTGTACTTTGTTCACAGCTTTGCTTGACACACAGGGGAGTGCAAGAGACCTGAAACAAGGGGATGTATCTTTCAAAATAAGACAGGAAATGACAAGACAACCATTGACACAGGACAAAACACCAAAAATTCCCCCAGACGTGACACCTTGTAAAATCCTTCAATGATGCCTTCAGCGCCTCTCTTTGACGTCCCGTGGTAGGACACGGGCCACTCGCCTGGCACCGACCGGGTGCTCCGGTAACAGTTTCCCAGCCACTCGTTTCCATCGTACTTATTCAGGACCTGTGATACAACAGTTCATCTGCTGTAACAAGTTTTCATTTGACAGACATGTGACCACAACAACAAATAAAAAAAACTGAGATGACTACATATCTATTAAGTATTAAAACATACCTACTTAAAAAGAAACTAGTCAGGAAATACGAGTCAAAATTGCCATTTTCATATAGACATTTCCATTTATGCTTCTTTTACGTCATGTCATCCAATGTAGTCTGTGTAAATAAAACCTCTTTATTTGGAACTTGTCTCTCAAAATACTGTTCTCTTTATTTTTGTCAGAGATTCAAACTGAGGTCTTCCTGATGAAATATAAAAGTGTCTTTCTTCAAGCACTTCTGTTTTATATGGGCTTGTAAATGTACACTAACGATTTGACATCCTGATGCTCGTTTCAAGCAAATCACACCAAATTGCATTTACCTTGAGGCCAAAACGGTACCATCCACAGGGGCGCTCGTACACCTCTCCCCCCCTGCAGTAGGTTTCTGTGTCTCTGAGTTTGGTGAAATCGTGGTCGTATTTCT